CCTCCTCCTCTTCCTCCTCTTCCTCTTGCAGGCCCCCCAACTGGGCCAGCGTAGATGGGGTCGGAGGATCGCACTGCATCGCCGATGCACTCGAGATGCGGCGCGATCCTCCGATTCCCATCTGGTCGGGCCCGATTTGGGAGGCCTGGACGAGCCTCCGCTCGAGCTGGCAAGCCAAACATACGCAAACTTTTGGAGCTCCGCGCAGATTTCTGGAACTGGCGCTGGACCCTCCCACCCCCCTCCTGGCGCGTCGCGCCGGGCGCACCGCCAGGAGGCCCTACGCCGACCCGAGAAGCCCGCGTGAAGCTCCGAGAGCTCATACAGCGAAAACTTTCGGAGCTGCGCTCGCGTTCGAGCACAAGTCCGATCTCCCTCTGGGAGGAAAGAGAGGAGACCTGGGACTCACATGTACACGCCCAGTGTGTGCGGGCCATCGCCCGCAACACAGCTTGCGCAACCTGCTCAACGCCTCACGCTCGCGAGCCTGCCCCGAAGAGTGTCCACTGTACCGTGCGCGGCAGCGGGTGCGAACGCAGCATCACTTGGACGACCGAAATTCGCGTGGAGCATATGGGAATGGGAACGATGCCCAACATCAAATAATGTCCAAAACCGACAGCGGCCGCTGTTGGGCAGACGAGCGTGCGCCTCGAATGGACAACGCCGCGGTGACGCTGACAGCGAATCCTGTTCAGCATGAGCAAGAACTGCTGTTGGACGTTGCACCCATTGGAGGCAACTCCCGGGAGGTTTTCGTCAAAACGATAAGGAGCTACTAAGCCCACCGAGCCGGATCTGGTCTGGGATCGAGCCGGATCAAGTGGGAGCAAGCCGAATTAGGCAGGACAAAGCCGGATGAGCAGGGATTCAGAGAGAATGGGCCACTTTGCGACCAGGGGTAGGCCGGAGCCGAGTCTGACTTTGACCTCCCAAGAGTTGCACCCTTACCCACCCCAGAGAAAGGAGGGGGCCTCGGCCACCGCCATCCGCCGCCGCGGCCCGCTGGTGGGACCCACCCCCCCGCCGCGGCCCGCGCGGCCGCGGGGGGGGGGCCACGGAAAAGCAGGGCTGCCGGCGCGGCTTCGCGGCGGAGCGGTGCTCACGAGCGGCGGACATGTCCATCTGCGCTCGGGGATCTACCGACCCGGATCAGTCCGAACCAGGGTCAGTCAGGCTCGGCAGGATCCTGCAAGATCCTGCAGGTTCCTGCAGGCTCCTGCACCCAAGCCCAGACCAGTGCAACCCTGGCCCTGCAGCATCCTGCAAGATCCGTCACTCTGGCGGACCCTCGACTGCATTTAGGGAAACAAACAATGACATACACATAACAACTCGGAGGTTCGCGCTGATTTCTCGCATCGGCGCTCGACCCCCCTCCTTGGCGCGCGGAGCGCGCCAGGGGCGGCGCCGGAGGCGCCGCCAAGGGGCTCCAGCGCCGATCCAAGATATCCGCGCGGACCTCCGAGTTTTTATGTTTATGGCACTGTTTGCTTCCCTCGCATGGACCCCCGTTCGGCGGTGGGCAAACCTCCCTTTAGTAAACCTCCCTTTAGTGAAAACGGCCTGGGACCGAAACCGACGGACCTGGACCCACAAAAATGACGGCCGCGACGCCCTCTCGCGAACCGAAAACGGCAAATTCCTCAATCGACGTGTCAGGGTAGGAGGTCTATCCACCCCCGACTCGCCTGGACCCCCGTCTGTCCACCCCCGACATCCACGCGGACCTCCGATGTGTTATGTTTATGGCACTTGCCGTCGATCGGACGTCCATTTCCCGCGCATTTTTCGGTTTCGTGCGTGTTTTTGTTTGCTCGATGGTCCCGGGTGGTCCCCAATGGCTCTCGCCGAGAAAAAAATGCACACGTCCGAGCGATGCCAAGGGCACTGTTTGCTTTCCTCGCATTGGCCCCCGTCGCTTGAGCCCCGATGCAAGCCTCGCGGTCTGGCCTCCAGGGCGCGAGAAATGCGCGGTGGCGGCCCCCCGAGCTGGCCTGCCTGAGCGCCGACGCAGGCACGGCGGTAAGGGACCGGGCTCTATACACCGACGTGTTCTGCGGCCCCGCACTGCCATTCGCAGAAGGGAGCGGTTCCCGGTGTATACGGGATCCTGGTGTATACTGTTCTCATGGCTCCCACGGGAAAACGGGGAAAAGTATACACCACACCACCCCGACGTCGTCCCCGACCCTGAAGAAGTCGTGGGATTGGCCCCGAGAGTACGGGTGGAACCGTTTGTTATTCTCGCACGGTTTTCGGGGTGGCACGTGTCACGTTTGTGTGGTTTCACATTGCATGGTTGCATGGCGCCATGTTGGCGCCCAGAAAACAAGCGAATCAACTGGCCACCCTCGCGCGGTTTTCGGGATGACACGTGTCACGCCTGCGTGGTTTCGCATTGTATGGCGCCGTGCTGGCGCCGAGAGTACTGGGGAAACAATAACAACCCGCCACTGGTAATGTATACACCACGGGAAAACGGGGAAAAGTATACACCACACCACCCCGACGTCGCCCCTGACCACTGGCAATTGAAAAACAACCCGCCACTGGTAATGTATATGTCCCAGTTTGAAAAACAACCCGCCACTGGTAATGTCCCTGACCACTGGTATCGGGGATGGACAGACCCCCCTTTAGCAAAACGTGGTTTAGTGAAAACGACCTGAGGCCCAAACCTGGCAGGCGCAGGCCTGGAAAATGACGGCCACGGCGCCCTCTGGAGAAGCGCAAACGGACAATTCACGAATCGACGTGTCACTGTTAGGGGTTCTGTCCAGCCCCGATGGTAATTGAAAAAGTCGTGGGATTGAAAACCAACCCGCCACCGGTAATGTACCCTCAGGGACGCACGGAGGGAGTCGAGGCGTGCTGGTCCCTTGGGTCGTGCTCCGGCACGTACCCTCTGGGACGCACGGTGGAAGGAGTCGAGGCGTGCTGCTCCTTTGGGTCGTGCTCCGGCGCGTACCCTCTGGGACGCACGGAGGAAGGAGATGAGGGAGGATGCGTGCTGGTCCCTTGGGTCGTGCTCCGGCACGTACCCTCTGGGACGCACGGAAGAAGGAAATGAGGCGTGCTGCTCCTCTGGGTCGTGCTCCGGCACTGTACATGTTCCCGTCTGCGAGGAGGGGCCCTCTCTCGCGTGGCCGCGGCGGGCCTCGGCCACGAGCGGGGGGGCCCCCGGCCGGGGTCGGAGTAGAGCGGGGGCCCTGGAGCACACCAGTGGACACACACACACACACACACACACACGGCCGACCGCACATGCAAGCATGCCGAGCAAGCACACACACACACACAAACAAAAAACAGGGTTCCCGCACGTCCTTCGGCCACGTGCGAACCCTACCCCTACCCCCACGATTTATGAGGGGGAGGGTGGGGTTCACTTCGCTCGGGAGCTCCCGAACGAAGTGAACCCCACCCTCCCCCTCGGAACTCGTGGGGGGTATGGGTAGGGTTCGCATGTGGCCCATTAATCCTGCCATATTTTACCTGGGGGGTCGTCGTCCCCCCCCCCCATCAACTTCCCATATTTTCCCATCTCGTCCTGGGGGTCGGCGACTCAGTGTGTCTATTTGCTTGTTCCCCTCCTGGCTGAGCCGCGAGAAGAACAGAGTCTGGGACTAGGCTCGGACGAGGATAACATCGGATGCGGATCAATCGAAAATCTCTGAGCGCTGGCAACTCTGGGGGATGCCTCGAGCGCCGCAATCTTCTCTGAGAGCGTTCCGCAACGCTCTGGAACGGAGTTATCATCGTCCTGGCCCCGTCCGAATCTTGAGTCCCTTCTCAACCCCAAACAACAATATTACTATCATACCTACTGGTGTGATCTCGCACCGCATTATTTCAACCGACCGTGCCTGGGATGTCCTAGATGTGCCCTGGGATGTGCGCTGAGATGTGTCCCGGCATGTGTGCGCTGGAGTGTTGTCTCCGTCTGCTGGAACGCGTGCTGGGATGTGTGCTGTCTGTGCGCTGCTCTGTTCATGTGTGCCAGGGTGTGTTGATGTGTCGATGGATGCCGCTGCGCTCTGCTGCGGCGAGCTCGTGTCATGACGACGTGCGCGGGACCGATAAGGTTCTGACATCCTGTCGGCCGCTCGGGAGACCTGGAACCAAAGCCATTCCGCTTTCTGCCGCGGGGGGCGACTTCTGCTTCCGGCGGCTTCTCCGCTGGCGGAGCCGCCCGCGGTTTTTCCTTCCGCCGCCTCCCGCCGCCTCCCGCCCGAGAAGAGGCATCACCATCTCGAGTCCGAAGATGAGGCTTATGTTGTTCCCATCGCACTTCAGGACCACATCCCAGAAATGATTTCGAGCGCCCAGGGAAATGTCGAATCAGTGTCTACAAGAGACGAAGGCGGAGTGTCGGACCAACATCGCCTCCCAGGGCCCAACACGTGAAAACCCTCCAGTCTTGGTACTTTCGTGGCGCTCGAAAGTATTCCTGGTAGGCAAAGCTAAAAGTAGGTTGGAACATCATAAGACGAGGCCCTCTCTGGAACGCCTCGCGTGAACCGCTCAGCCTTGAGCAGGCGCGGCTCTGCGAATCATCGCGGCTCTCCGATAGCGTCGCTCGGTCGACATCGGCCGACCCAAGGGCGCTCGACCTTGAAAAGCCCGCGCTCGGGGTCGCCGCCGCGTCGCAACGGCCCCCAAACCTGCCGTCTCCTTCGTGCCCCCCAAACGCACACCACACCAAACGAGCCCGTATCGAACTGCTCAAATCCGCGTCAAACCCGCACCGATCCGCGGGGAACACAAGACAAGAGCATTTTGAGGACAGACGATGCCCCCCGGAGATGCGGGGAAGCACATAACTTGTTGGGCGCCAGGCATCACAGGTCAGCGCATTCCGAAATTGGCCGCGGCGGAAACGACAGGGCCGGTTCTTCAACGTTTCCGAAAAGTGTCTCTTGAACATGAATCCAGTTCAAAAGCGATAAAACGCAGCGACCAGCAACAACAACGGCCCTGGGATTGAACCTTTGTATCGGAACGAACAAGCCGGCGACAGAAATGAGAAAACAACGACGCCAAAACCGACGAAGAAACGGGAAAATGGAAACGGCAAGTAAACGGTCCTGTTGTGTCCCAGGCCAACTGAGGCGCATCCTACCCTTTGCCCTTTCCCTTCGCGGACGGCCTCTTCACGTGAACATTGATAAGGCAGCCATCCGGCAACGTCGTCTCGTTTAGCGCCTCAATGGCCGCTGCGGCATCCGAGGCCACCGCGAACTTCACGTACGCGATGGCGTCCTCGTGGCCGTGGTGCTCCTGCACCACTGCCTTGACACCCTCCAGCGCTCCGAAGGGCGCGAACAGCTTATCCGCCAGCGCACTGAAGGTACAGTCATCGTGCTGCCATGAGGAACGCATAAGGAGGAGCGAAAGGGCTTTTCTGGCCACGGCAGGCTTAGACCACACACATGCTCCACTACATAAACGTACCGGCCCGAATACCCGAGCCCCTCCAAAGCCCAGAAACTTCCTTATTTCAGCGTCTTGACTGTACCCTGAGGCGCGCAAGGAAGCTTGCTGACTGCTGGCTGTCTGGTGTGTCCGAGACCGCTTCCTGGGGCTTCCTCTCTGGTGCTTCTCGTGGTCCCAAGACGGCCCCTTTGGAGCAGCACGCTGCCACCAAAGAACTGCTACATCATAAAGAGCCCACTGTCCACGCAGAAATCCCAAAATATCCTCAAGACGCCCTGGGAGCCAAACGGGTACTGGGGGACTCCAAACATACGTTCTTCGTCGACAGACTCACACTGCCAACACTGTGACATAAGAGGGATGATATAAACATGAGCTGTCGGATGTCCGCGCAGATTCCCTGGCTCGATGCTGCACCCTGGAGCGCTGGGCGCGCCAGGGGTTGCGGCGAAGGTTCCGCCAGGGGGAAGGAGGGGGGCATCGCCGACCCAAGAAATCCGCACAGACCTCCGAGAAGTCGCGCTTCTGTAATGCCTGCAGTCGTTCGAGGTCTGCCGCAGAGGCGGCCCGAGAAAAGAGCAGCTTGCCAGCGTGGCTCGGCAAACGGCCCCCGAGCATCTCCTTCACACCTGCCTCGATGAGGCCCCCCGAAACGCATCCCAAGAGACCGTGGCGGGATGGACCGAAGGCCACTACATCCGCTGGGTGCACGGCGGGCTAGACTGTTGGGGGTATTGTTTCTGTTAGAGCTTCCCAGTGGGGTATCGGCCCAACCCGACGGCCACCTGGAAAGACCGGGGGAGCCGCCCCAAATACGCAGCACCCCGCAGGTGCAGATAAGAGTGAGGGGGCGGCGGGAGCGTCGGCAGTTTGCGAGGCTCTGAAGAAGCCCACTTTTCACCAGCTATACCACTAGCTCGCCGCGGGCGCCGAATTTTCGTTCAAGCAATGTGGGTGGGTCGCGGGGTGGGTCGCGGGTGGGTCGCCAGCCGGGTCGCGGGTGGGTCGCGGGTGGGTCGCGGGCCGGGTCGCGGGGGAGACGACGACAACAAACAACAAACAACACAACCAGCAAGACAAGCAGCAGCAAAAACAACAACAACAACAACAACAACAACAACAACAACAACAACAACAACAACAACAACAACAACAACGACACTAACAACAATACGAATAACAACAACAATAACAATAGCAGAAGGAACAACAACAACAACAACACTAACAACAACAACGACAACGACGACGACAACAACAACAATCATTTAAAGACTGTTCGCTCCGATCTGCTCACGTGCCAATCAATACGTATATCCCAATCCCTCGGTACCCGCCCGCTTCGTCTTCGATGGTATCCCCTTGGGGGTACATATTCCTTACCTGCCACGAGTATTTGGCGCAGCCCCTAAAACAAGGGAAGAGAGGACGGGTGGAAGGGGGAGGGAGGATAATGGAGCACGAGAGAAATCAGCAAGAGGGGGGCAAGGAGCAGAAAACATGTGGGGGAACCAAGGCTAAGCCGGCGATCTAAGCGTCTCAAACAACCGGAGGAAGACGCGAAAAGTGCGGAACATAGAAAAGTGCGAAAAGTTCGAGGAGTAGAGAAGTAGAAGAAGTGCAAAAAGTGCGAAACGTAGGAAGGTGCGAAACGTAGAAAAGTGCGAAAGGTGCGAAAAGTAGAGAAGTAGAAAAGAAGAAAAGTGAGAAAAAGTGCGTTCGAAACGTAGAACAATAGAAAAGAGGACAAGTGCGAAGAAGTGCGAAACAATACGAAAAGTGCGAATCGTAGAAAAAGACGAAAAGTACGAAACGTGCAAAAAGCGCGAAAAGTGCGAGAAGCGCGAAAAGTGCGACAATTAGGAAAAATGCGAAAAGTGTGAAAAGTGCGACAAGTGCGAAAAGGACGACGAGTGTAACATTGCGAAACAAACGCGAAACGTAGAAAAATAGAAAAGCACGATGAGTAAAAAATGCCCGAAACGTTGCGAGAAGTCTGAAAGTATGGCAGTGCGAAAAGCGCGAAACGTAGAGCAAGACACGCGCGGGGAAGGGCGAACCTCTTAACAACGCGAAGCGCGAGAAATAGGAAAAACGGAACACGCCCGAATGTTCAAACAGCTTTTGTTTAAGAAGCGCGTGGGAGCGGCAGGAGGGACAAGATGATGAGGCGGCCGTTTTCCATTCTTCTGCTTTTCCCGCTTCTAATATTGTTGTTGCTTTTCGCGCTTCTCTTCTTCCCCCGCTTTTTAATGATGGTGCGTAATTGTTGTCGTCATCATCATAATCTTCACAATCACAATCATCATCAGCTTCATCACTCATCGCGCCGTGACCAGCATCATCGCTTACCACTGTGCCATGACCATCGCCATCATCACCCTCGTCACCATAATCATCGTCATCGTCAACATCGGATTCAGCATCGCCGCCACGACACACCACACACACACACACCTACTCACCCACTCATTCGCTTACCATTCGCTCACACACACGCACGCATCTTGGGGAGGTCTCGAGCGGAAGCTTCGTCTGTGAGTACATCGCGAGGACGTCTCAAGCGGGAGCTCCTCCCTATGGCGTCCCCGCCTCATGCTTTTAATCAGCGCGGGTCATCCGATCCCTGTAGTTGTCGTCACTTCCGGGCTCCTCGGGCCTGTATCTGGAAGAAGTCTCGAGTGGGAACCTCGTTTGTGAGTGAATCGTGAGGAAGTCTCTGGCGGGAGGTCCCCGCCTCGTGCTGTTTTTTACCCGTGCGGGTCATCCGATCCTTGTAACTGTCGTCAGTGTTGGTTCCTCGGGCCTGAATGCGGGAGCTCCGTCTGTGAGTGCATCGTGACGAAGTCTCTAGCGGGAGCTCCTCCCTATGAGGCCCTCGCCTCTTTTTTTCCCACGCGCAGGTCATCCGACCCCTGCAACCGTTGTCATATCTGGGTTCCTCGGGCTTGAATCGGGAAACCCCTCCTCTTTCCGAACTCCGACCTCCTGTTGGTAGTCTGACCAACGGCTTGCTCTGGCTTCATCGGCGAGCGGCGTCTGAACGGCTTGCTCCGCGCCAAGGAAGAGACGGAAGAAAAAGAGCAGGATGAGGAGGAGGATGATGAGGAGGAGGAGGAGAACGAGGACGAGGACAAGGACGAGGACGACGAGGACGAGGACGAGGCGAGAGGAGGAGGAGAGAGGAGGAGGAGGAGGAGGAGGAGGAGGAGGAGGAGGAGGAGGAAGAGGAGGGCTAAGAGGTGGAAGCGGTGGAGAAGGAAGGAGGAGGAGGAGGAGGAGGAGGAGGAGGAGGAGGAGGAGGAGGAGGAGGGGGACGACGATGAGGAGGGGGATGAGGAGGGGGGCGAGGAGGAGGAGGAGGATGAGGAGGAGGAGGAGAAAGGGGACGAGGAGGAGGAGGAGGAGGGGGACGAGGATGAATAGAAGGGCGAGGAGGATGACAAGGACCAGGAGGACTAGGGGGAGGGCGACGAGGAGGCAGGAGGAGGAGGAGGAGGAGGAGGAGGAAGAGGCAGGAGAGGGAAGGGAGGAGGAGGGAGGGAGGGAGAGACTCTCGTGCTAACAAAGGAGATCACCATGTGGGGCCTACCGTCTTAATCATTCGCATGTTTCACATGGCCCTGATTTTCGCACTAGTTGCCGAGGGCGTCCAAAATCCATGATCCTGGAACCTCGATCTTCCAAGTGGTTTTCGGGCCATGCGTAGCTTGGGCCTCCGGCCAGAGTTCGGGATGGTTCGGGCGCCCCCGAAACCTTTCGATGAGGCGCAGCTGCTGGAAAGCATCCGCCACGGGTTGTGCCAATACTGCCCCGGGTTGTGCCAATATTGCCCCAAATTGAGCCAATAGTGCCCGGGTTGTGGCCCAGAGGCCGCTCATGCCTATACTGGGGGCGAGTTCCGTGAGATGCGCATTTCCGATTTTGATGCGTGTCCAATCTTCGTGTGTTTCGCCCAGCCACTGCGTGCGCCCCTTGTTTTCGTTTTTCCGTGGCTCGTGTTTTTCGAGTTCGCTTGTTGTTTCGTGTGTTTCTGTTGTTCGTTTCTGTCGTAGTGATTTCCGTATTTTGCTTCTCACTTCGGCGAGGACAAAAGATGAGGATAGCGACGACGACGACGACGACGACGACGACGACGACGAGGGGTATTCCGTGACATGCCCTAGGGGGTGCTCCGTGACATGCCCCAAGGGGTATTCCGTGACTTGCTCGACGGGGTGCTCCGTGATATGCCCCCGAGGGTGTGACACTCTTGCGTGACAAGGGGGGGGATCGGAGGAGGAGGACGAGGAGGAAAAGGAAAATGAGAAGGTGGAAGACGAAGGATGAGGACAACGAGGACGGCGACGACGACGACATGGGGTATTCCGTGACATGCCCGAGGGGTATTCCGTGACGTGCCCCGTGGTCTCGCATTTTGCTTTTCACTCCAAGGAAAAACGATGGAGGAGGAAGGAGAACGGAGATTCCGTGACATGTCTACCCTGGCTTTCTTTGTTCCTGGGTTTCTCGCAAGAAGTTACTGTTTCAATTTGTTGGTGGCTGCCGCGCCTCATTTTTATGATTCCCCACATGTTTCGTGGGGTTATGGTGTTCTTCCCTGCCGCGGCGCACCCGCGTCTCCTCACACCTCCCCTCCTCCCTCTTCTTCCTCTCCTCAACCGCGCTCAACACATGCACGGCAAGTACATGACACACGCGTCTACATACAGCCGCACGCATGCACACATTCGCACACAACACGCACACACACACACACCATACAACGCTAGTGCGCGCCTGGCGTGTTCACTGCATCACACATCCACGACGTGTGCGCCACATAGTGGGCACCCACATGAGACACGTCCCGATATGGCCGATATGCACGACGGTCGTCCAGGCATAGCAGGCGTGGCACTTCCTCGACACCAGAGGGGGTGCGCTGGGTGTGGGGGCCCTATGCGTTTCGGGCT